CTTAAGTAAGACCAACAAATAACCAGAGAAAAAAGTAAGCACAAACCAAAGACTCTACTGAAAATATTTGTTAAACTTATGTTAACCTAGCTTAAACTAACGAAAACGAAAGTTAAAAGTTTTGATATGAAATCGATATCTCGATGATACAAATTTTCCAATAACTTTCGCACTGTAATTGCCGTTATCGTCCTTGAAAAATCAGTGAAAGCAAACGTGGTTAACAGTGTTACAGCAACGTCACTAACGACAATAACAACGATGGTTTCTGTACAAATGCAACATGTTACTGAAAAAAAAACTTCTCTGCAAACTTTCACTCTTTTTTTCATTTTCACTGTATACAGTGTATTTTCACAACAGTAAAGCACCTTGCAAAGTAAATTCCATCAAAAAAGTTTTTTGAGTAACTAGTAGCTTTAAATCTTTTCCGTTTTAGTTTTTTTCGTGCCTAGTTTAACAAATGCCTTTCAGCATTAGGCGTCGGAATGAAAGGCAAACATATACACAAACAGTGTCAATGTATGCATTTATTTGTAGGACTTAAAACAAAAACGTGTTGCATTTGTAAACAATTTTATCTGCATCTTTCGCCTTGTAAACTAACAACTGTAAGATAGAATGTTAAAGACAATAACACCACTTTTTCTCTTTCAGTTTTAGATTTACTGAACTGCTAAACTTTTACGAGATTCTTTTTACGAACTTAAAAAAAAAAATAAATTATATAAGACTTTACCTGATAACGCTGCGGAGAATTGGACATCCTGTAATTATTTGATTTGTCATGCAGGTTCACAGTCGATTGAGACTTGCCAGAGTTATAAGGCATTGGGCAAGTCAAGGATCTTCTAAATAACTTTTAAACCCTACCAGTGATAATTGAATTATCCTACTTTAGTGGTAACAGTTTAATGAATTCAGACCGAAGTAAAAGATTGGAACGTAGGTTTCTTAAGAATTAAGAACATTTATTGCAAAGTCCTCTTTGAAGGCATGAGAATACTTTAATGGAGAGCAGCGCTGAACATTAGTTCAGAAGAATGCAAATAGTAAATGACAGTGTTAGAGAGTTTCCTGCTGTGATTTTCCAACACATGAAAGATTCCGTTAGTCAGCTTTCTTTGCATCGCTCTTGAGAAGGATGAAGTTCTAAATAAAGTTTCACAGTGGTACACTGCAAAGAAATCTAGTTCGCTACATTTTATCTGCTGCAAGTCTCTCTCAATTCACGCTCATCTGTACTCAAGCTCTTATTACTACATTTGTACCCGATGCAGTCAAAAGTCTGTTACAAAAAGTCCAAACTCTTCGAACGTTAGAAAGAAAATAAGTCTAACAGCAGGCTATCACTCTGTGACTAAGTTGAGCAAAGGCGATGATTTAAGGTGACGTGTAGGAATTTCAGACAAGAAACACTGTGCAAGTGCAATGCTAATTAAGAAAAGTAATTACAGAAACAAGTATAGTGAAGTTCTTATGAGCTAATACTGTGACTTCGGCTAGCAGAAATTTTTAATCAGAATACCTGAACTTTTCTGACCACGATAAGAAGGAAACTGAAGAATTATTGAGACATTTCGCAAATATTTCAATATGGCGTCCCAAGCATAAAGAAGAACAGTATCTTCACAGTTTGGAACACCTACCTGCCCCAGTTTTTGTTTTAGGCTGGCTTTGCTTAAAGTTCTCTGGCAGGCATTTTCTTACTTGTATTCTTCACTCGGTAAACTGTGCAGCTACATGAGTTCAAAGCCGAGTCCAAAACTTGCCTCACTAGAAGGCGCATCTTGATAATGATAACCGCGTCCTTCAAAGTAAGGGCGATGTCATTCGCAATTAGTAATAGCCAAATGCCAAATGCCCATTTACCTTTTTTAGTAACTTTATTACCATAGTTTAAAAAATCAAGGTTTTGTTATAAAAATTTTTTAAAATAATTTCTTATTCATTACACGCGCTAAAGAGGGAGCCGTAAATTCTTCTTCTGGATGACATGATTACAAGCCGCACAGTACAGACCGTCCAGCTTGTTATGCCTTTGAATCTTAACCAACCCCAAGTACAAATGCGTGAAGCTGTTCAATATTGGATATATGATGAGGTTCAACAAACTCCAAGCACATATTCAAATACCTTGTTTTAGAATGTTAGTCACAGAAGCTCTTTGTTAGTTGCTTGCAATAATGCAAAAAAAAAAAATAAATAAATAAATAAATAAATAAATAAATAAAAAATAAATAAATTTGAAAGCAAACTCTGACGTTACTCTTCGAATGCGATACAGGTTCTCCTTCACAGTGGTGAATAACTCTGAACCCGTTGTTACAGTACTATACTTCTATAAAATTTGAAAAGAAAGCATCCAATTTAAACTTTCTTGTACTTTTAAAACATAAATTTTTCTGTCAGAAGTGTGATAGACGAACATTATTAGTTTGCACAACAGAGATGTACTAACAATTTCACCACTAAAAATAATTAAGAACATAAAGTTTAAATTTTAAGCATATTTCGGAACTGTGAGATATAGATTGCATTCTGCGTTAAACGACAGCAACTAATTCCGCGCAAAACTGGTTATTTAAATAATCCAGCTGCAATTATACACTACCAGTGACTTTTCTTTGTCAAAAGCTCTCGAAATGCTGAAGTTCTGTTTTGTAGTACATCTAAGTATACATAAATTTCATAAAACTCTTCTTTTGAAAACCTTCTATAATTAATAAGTAAAGTAAAAAAATAAATATTATAAAATTAACAGAACGATTAATTAATGAACAACTAAACAAATAAAATAGAGCGAAAAAATTGCCGAACACAAGCGATCTCAAGGAATCGTAGAGCAACAATCCAAAACAGAGAAAGCATTTCATGAAGAATAAGTAATTTGGCATACAAAAATTAGACCAAAACTCATTGATCCAGATGATCAGGCAGTCCTAGCCCCATTGTACGTCAAATTTTTGTTCATAATTTAACGTGACAATAAAAAGATTCGTTAACTTTATGTTGCAATTTAAAATTGAGCCTACAATGAAGATGATTGTGCACTTACCAAACATTAATAATTTCCACTTTTTCTCAAAACCAATTATTCAATGATGTTTGTTCAAATCACTAAGATTTTGCAAGAAAAAACTGAAAGCAGTTTTTGAGATTTCTGCCCTCCGCAAGTTGCAGCCTTCAATTAACAAACGAGTAAATCAGAGATTTTCGAATGTGCCTGTTTATGGAACGTATATTCTTCCAACTAATGACTTGTCGTTTCACTGAGAATAAGTACCATGAAGGAAATGTGCTTCAAAATAAATGAAAGAAGAAAATGCAGATTGAGTGTCTTCAAACAAAAAGCTTGTAAAACTTTTTGCCTTTCCAAATGTCATCGAAAACTTGCTCATTGTTGAAGTTGTCATACTGTTTAGTGACCTCCTACAAATAAATGATGTTGTTCCTAGACAGTTTTAGGAATATTATAGTGTGAATGCCTACTCAAATTGAATCGAATACAAATGTAACGAAAAACTCTTATTTTTTTTTTTTTTTTTCAAATCTGAACATTCTACATTTCAATGAAATTAAACTGCACTGGTGGAGAGAATTAGAGGGCAATATAACACTGTCACTGTAACTGAACCATAACAGACTTAACCGATATCAGTAGTAGAGTTTTTGAAAAAAAATCGTATAAAAAATTCAAAAAATTATTTCTTCTAGCCCAAAGTCCAACGACATAAAACAAATGAATAATTACCCTCAGAAATTTGAATCTCAAACCGGAACCTAAGTATTCCCGAAAAACGTAAGACACTTTTCATTATAATTTTGTATTGTTTAAAACAGATTTAACACATTTGATCGGAAAACGAAAAATTAACATGTCTACAAAACTGGTACAGCAAACTAGCATTAAAGTATTCAAAATTCAGAAAATTCCTTCAAATAAACCTTCCAACTACAGCAAGAATAGTCAACTTTGACAGTCAAAACAGAGTACTTTGATAAGATTCAGAAAAGCAATCGCAATTTACTAATCTTCTGTCAAGAATCAAGTAATTGTCATACATGCTTATCTTGTTGCAGCAATCGGATGAACACGTTTATCGCCTCACTAGCTTTCAAAATGGAATAACAAATTTAATCAAGTGTCGATTATTTTCGTCACCTAGTTTCTAGAAATCTGCCTAAACGTTTCATAAATACTGCCATGCATTAAATTGAAAACCTATAGACTTATAGTATATGTTCTAATGATGGCTCAAAGAACCAGCGTTGTTCCCCATCAAAACAGAACTTCATTGTTTCTTCAAATGCATAGTATACAATGATGAAAAATTACCAGCACTTTTGAAATACTGATTTGACCGGCCTTACTCTTTCTTAATTTCGAAGAGCTATTTCTAGCGTTATTTTTTTAATGACCATTTTGTTACTCATTATTAATAAATTCTTAACATTACTACCAGTAAACTGAGAATAACAAGATGCGGTAACTGAAACTCAAACAGTATACCTGTAAAGTCCCACAAGACGTAGAGTAGCCTTGCTGACAACGCTAAAATTTCTATTTACCACAAGCCATCCTCTCTCTAATACACAATACTCTTGCACCTTTTTTCAAAAAAAAAAAAAAACCTTGCAGAGCTTTTTAATGTAACTTCCAACAAACAAAAGTCAATAAACAATGTATTTCTACCAAGTAACATAAATGCAATGTTTAAAGTTCCCCCGTGGCCTCTAAAAACATGATTTCAAAAAGTCTTAAGCATTGATATTTTCATAAGAAAATACATAATTTAAGAGACGAAAAAGTATTCAACCTTACCAACTGAAATATCCCAGAGAGATAACAAGACTGAGTGCATGTGTCAAAAAAGCTATTCGGAATTCCGGTTAAACTAGTTAAGGCGTATTTTTACGAGAAAAAATTTGAGAACCAGATGAAGCAATTAAACCTTAATGAATTACAACCACATCTTAACAGTAATTACAACCCTAAATCATTCTTCTTGCATATCCTTAGCTTCGATCACAGTATTGCCGACTTTACTGGCACTTGAATCATCTTTAGTTCCTCCTTCTGATGACTTCTAAAAAAAACAAAAGAATCCTTCACTTTCCTAAAACAAAAATAAGTGTTTGAAAAATCCTTTAAGAAAATAATTTAATCATAAAAATAACCAGGTAATGGTGACAAAATTGAAATTTACCAGTTCTACAGAAGACGCCATTTCCTTAGTTTCAACTTCTTCGCCCTCGACTTCCATCTCTGGCCAGTTACCCGTATCATCTCTCTGCGAACGGCTCAAACGTTCGGTTAAATCCCTTATTGCCTTTTGTCTGAAAATGAATAAAAAATTTTCTAGAGGAAGGAGCCGATTCCTGTTCAAAAAAAAAGGAAGCATATCTTGGGTAGCTCCTGTGTAAAGAAAAATTACAACTCTTTACCGTTTTCGCTCTGCCTCTTTAGATTGCGAAGTTGGAAGTATACTAATAGATTCAAGTCGAGATACGTCGATACGCCGTATTATTGGCTTGCATAAACGTATCTTAATTAATATTCTATAGAAAACAGATGCAATTGAATTCATGCAAGGCTGCAGTTTCGATGGATATAGACTGTAAAAAAAATAGTGGTTTAGCAAGGAAAAGGAATTAATTAAAAAGACTTAGAACCAAGGTTAAAATCCAAACACAATCAACCACAAAAAAAAGAAATTTTAACTAACACTCACGTAGCCCAAGCGAAGTGATCACTGGGATCGCCTCTCGGCTCTCCATCATCGTGATACTGATAAAACCTCAAATACGTCCATGCTATTTGGATGCCGAAAAGGATCTGTAGAACAGCAATCCATCGCAAAAAACCAAATGCAGCAGCAATGCAGCCACAAAATACAGCTATTCCGGGCAAATGTGTGTTTTTACATCTACCTACTGGAGTAGTTAAGAGTATCGAATCTGGCAAATACTGAAGTGAACAAGTTTTAGAGCATAATACAAAACTTGGAAAGTTCCTCATTCACCAAAAGGATTACTAGACAAATTAATGCCATAAAAACATAAAAAATGAAGTAATGCGATAAAAATCCAGAGAAAAATAATAAACTAAAATCTCAACCTGCTTTACAGCAACCAAAGCTGCGACACTGAATGCGGCAGGTCCATAAATCTGGACGTCAAAAAAGAAAAAGTCATCCTTGATTACCACATAAGTCAATAGAGATATAACTGCGACTAAAAATGATGACAAGATCTACAAAATTTCGTTTATTAAACAGATATACTACAGCATAACATGGCGTTTTTGTGTTCATTTTATTTTGAAAGCAAATAATTTCCTTGTCCAATAAAACATAACATCCCGTATAATTTTGAGAGAACTTATTTATCATCTGAGGAGAAAAGAAATACGATAAAAGCAAAACAAGTAAACAGGTCAGTTTTACCTGAACAATACCAAAAAACCTCAGAAATTCCTGAATACCCCAAAGTGGCTCAAACAACACAGCTGATCGATACACCGAATACAAAGCAAATAAAAACAGTACAATGTTCCGCTCGAATATACAGTGAGTCACTAGCCTCCATATTTCCAATTTAACAAGTTGCGCACCCGTTAAAGTGAAAAGCGTAAACAGGCGTGAACTTAGTGAAAAAAAAAAGCCTGAAAACTTGTAGAATACGAAAAAGTAGCCAGAAAGCATACAAATATAAAATAAGAACAGCATAAAATAGACAAAATAGATTTTTGTTTAAGCTGAAAACTGCAACCGAATAGAAACTAAAACTTTGAACTTCTGAAACACACCAGAGGTAAGCAATGCAGCGCCAACTTGAAATGCACGTGGAGTCCCAGCAACCAAACCCGCTGCAGAGTTCAGGAAAACTGACATCACAGTACTTCACCAAATTTTTAACACGAATGAAGCAAGCCCCTAAATCTAAAAGCCCGGCAGTCGAAATCACTAAAAATTTCCGGACGGGTACTAATAACAGTGGCTATCAGCTAAAGCAATTTAAGCAAATTTTAAAGCAGTGAGAACTACTTTTTGCCTTCTAATTAACAACACCTATCACCTAATAAATCAGATTTGAACAAAACATACGTCCTTCAATATAGTTTCACAAGACAAACAGAGAAAATAACTCTCAGCATCAAAAAATCAAACGGTAAGATCAGAGACATTAACTGGTTAATAACAAATTAACCTTTTGCATCTACTGGAAGTTTTGCAGCATCGTCAAACGGTAACTTCAAAGCCACCAAAACAGCAAACGTGAGCAACTTCAAAATCAGAAGTGTGAAAGCGGTTCAACAGCTCTACAAAAGCTACGTGGAAGAATGATCGAGGTTCTTAGACTGAATAGTCGCAAACAAGGATACTGACGACTACGTCGATAAAATCACCGAAATTTCGTCCGACTGCCAACTAAGTCTGTATGAATCGCGCTCTCTACGACTATATACCACAAAATGATTTTTGATTATCGTCCAGCTGGCAAACCGTCAAAGAAGGACGAGTGCAATCTCCTCTCCTCTGTGGCCTATACGCCACGTATATATTTAAAGATGGTCATTCTAATTATCGGCCAACTCTTCAACGTGTGTCCTGGACAGCAGCAAAAAGTTTATTTGTTCATCACGTCAGTGAATATTGATGATTCCCGTCGTATTTTGGTCGTTTAGTTGTTTGCTAGATACCCTAAGGTATCAATTCAGTTGCTTCAGAGCTACTATTATCTGCTGCTCAAACAACAGAACTGAGCAGACCAGGCCAGACACATAAACGATGAGTGCAGTACTCCTCAGATTCTGTGCTCTAATCTAGCACCACCAGAAACTGCATACGTAACAGCAGCGTCGCTTAGAAGTACTTCTAATAGTTGTTTGCGTCACTGTACGGACTTATCGGCAGTAATTTGGTTAAGGACAGCTCTTGATTAACCATCGTACAATAACGAAGTCCGCCATTTCAATCTGGTGGTACTTGTGACAACTGGTATTGTAATCGCAGCTGCATTTGAAATCGGCACTGTAATTTTTTTAATGTAATATTTATATGGAAAGGGTCAGTTGTTTAGGAAACATTTTTGTACATTAAACACGAGTCTTTGTTTTAGGGGGGGCAGAAGTTACAATGAAGGAAAATTAATTTCTTAATTGAACATGAAGATATGTCAGTTGA